TTTACATTTTTCTTTTTTTCTATTATTATCAATTTCAAAAATATTTCTAAATAACTTGCTATATCTTGTTATAGTATTAGGTGATTTTACCAATGACGAAATAATACTTTGTCTAGGTGTATTTTTTAGATATTCATATAATACATGTAATATTTCATTCACAGGAAGCTTTTGTTTTGAAAAAGGAGTATCTTTGAATATGGATACAGCTTTTCTGCAAGATTTTTTTGTACATCTATATAATTTGGTTTTATAATTTATATTTACATTCCCATCACATATACTACATTTATCTCGTTTTTCAATATATTTATTATCAAATAGATAATCAATAGCTTTTTTCTCATCTATAAACACTTCATGTAAATCTTTAAAGGACTCTATATTAAAAAAATCATTAACATTATTTTCATTCAATTTTTTATTCTTTAAAATTGATTTCTGCTTGCTTTTTCTCTTTTTTCTTAAACTTTTCTTTTCATCTTTACTCATATCATCTATTGTCCAGTTTTGATAATCAAGAATTTTACCATATATTTCATTTTTTTTTACATTTGACATTTTTTGTAATTTTTGCATACTTAACATAGATTTGTATTTTTCCATAGGTTCATAAATTTTTCTATAATTATCTTTAATCTTAGCATATTGTAGTTTTGTAACTTTATGAGATTTCATATTGATAAATAAAAAGGTAAAAGGGTAAGATAGCTGACAAACTATTTTTATCAAAATTATAATAATATGAAAATTTTAAAATAAACCACCTCCTTAATATTGTTACACAAAAAAATAAGGGGTGCATACTTTTAGATATAAAACTAATTTTATTTCTTTAATAAAAAATTATTATTATTATATATTTTACTTTTATTATTAATCCAGTTCAAAATGAAATCAAAACACCTTCTTTTATCACAAAAATCTATGAAAAATATGAAAACTAATTATAAGTCTAAGGCTTTTATGAAAAATATGATAAGTATCAACAAAACTATGAAAAACAATTTAGAATATGGTCGAATATTAAAATATGAAAATTGGTGTATTGATGATGTTAGTGCAAAAGAACGTAATATATTAAAAAATGTTAAAAGAACCAAAAAAAAGGAAAAAAAGGAAAAATTTAAAAAAATGGTAAATGAAGAAAAAATTGTACATAAGCAAAAAGCTCTAGATAATATTTTTAATATTGAAGCATATAAAAATTTACATGATATATTTATAGACGAAGAAAAAGCTATTGAGTATTTATTTCAAAAAGATTATTTATCATTAAAAACTAAATGTGAATATTGTGATGATGGTGAACTAGGTGTATATTATAAATTAAAATTATATAGATGTAAGAAAAAAGGATGTAGAAAATCATTTTCGATATTTAAAAATACTGTATTTGCTAATCAAAAATTACCTGTAAATGAAATATTGCACATATTGTATGAATATCTAAAAGAGACTCCAAGAAAAAGTATTTATGCTTCATTAGTAAAATCACCAAAAACAATAACAAGATATAGTAATATATTTAGAGAAATATTCCAAAGAGAAAATAAAAAAGTAATATTTGGTGATTATTGTGAAATTGATGAATCTATGATGTCTAGAAGAAAATATAATAAAGGTAGATTACAAAAAGGTCAAACATGGGTTATTGGTATAACTAATAGAACATCACCTAATAATAAAATTAAGGATTATCATATAGAGATAGTTGATAAAAGAGATAGAAAAACTTGTGAAGATTTTATACAAAGAAATGTAAAACCTGGATCTATAATTTATACAGATTCATTTAAATCCTATCATAATTTAAAAAATATAGGTTATAATCATAAAATGATAAACCATTCTAAGAATTATGTAGATAAAAAAGATAAATCTATACATACACAGAATGCTGAAAATATGTGGGGACTAATAAAGAGAAAAATAAAACCACAATATAGAGGTAAGAAACATTTAATTAAACATTTTAATGAATTTAAATGGAGAAATAAAAATAAATCAAAAGATATATTTAACGAGTTTCTTATTAATGGTACAGCTAACTAGATATATGAAGATATCTAATATAGAATATATCAATTTAGGTATAAATATACTAATTTAATAGATTCTGGATCAAAAAACTGAATTTTAGATAATAATAAAAATTATTATTAGTTAAGAATAATAAAAATGCCTTTTGAATTAGAATTTAAACTTTTTTTAGGTGATCTTTCTCTTAATGCTGATAGATTTACGCTATTAGCAGAAAATAATAATAAGAAACTATATGAAATAAATTTTATAGAAGATAATGAAACAATTAAAGATATTTATGACGACAATATGATGGAGAATGATTATAATGATGAATATAACCAATTTATATTAAAAATGGAAGATTTTTTAAGTGATAATGATATTAGAAGATTATATGTAAGTGTTTATGATGTAATAGTAGATTTTAGTAGATATGCCTATAGTAAAAGCATTACAATAATAGTTGAAAATGAGATTTAAATGTTGAAGGGTATTTTAAAAGAACTATTTCAAATTAAACAGACCCAGAATTACCTTGTGTTATTGTTAATAAAGAAAAAAATATAAAAATTGTAAAAAGGGATTAATAAATCCGTTCTTTTATATAAAATATTTTTATCTTTCTATATAATATATACATGTAAAGGTAAATTATATTCTTAAATGAATTCATTATAGTAGTATTATTTAAATTTATATACTGGTATTAATATCTTTTGACAATAAATGTAAAATTAATATATGATTTAGAAATGAACTATATAAACCTATATATGGGTATCTTATAGAAATTAATAAACTCAATAAAATATGAATCCTTTTGAAGATCAAGAGTTTAAAAAAAATATAAATAATAGTTTTATTATAGACCTAATTATAAATAATAATGATTTTAATATAAAAGAATTTAATATAAAGAAATGTAAAAATAATGTTATAATATATACCTTAAAATGTGATAAGATTAAATATGAGTATAAATTTATGTTAGAAGAATATAATATTAGTGAACCTAAAAATAAAAATAAGAATAAAAATAAAAATAAATTAAAAATTAATACAAAAGATATCAATAATAATAAAAGTAAAAATAATAAGTCTTCTGCTATGTCAGAGGATTTGTAATAAAAAGATAATTTTAAAATTGTTTCAATAAATGTAAAATATATTTTGTTTAACATAAAATTAAAATGATAACATAAAATAATATTTTGTTAAAAGTTCTAATTATTTCAAAAATGGTTTATTTTTGATCTGTAATTATAATTTGGATTTATTTCGAAAAAACATTTATGATAAATAATTTATATTTCTACTGAATTACACTTGTCACCTATAATACCTTCTAGCCAATAAAAATATTATTTTGGTATATAATAATAAAAAGTTTTTATAAAAATAAAAAATCAATTTTATATCTAAAAGTATGCACCCCTTATTATTTTGTGTAACAACGATTCAGGGGGTAGTCTAAATTTAAATCTTTATAGAATTATAATTTTTATTAGCATAATATTATAGGGGACATGTATCTTGAGTATATACCATATAGAAAGTTGCAGACGGAGTGGAGGAATATAATAAAGCAAACTACAGGTCGATTGTATTAGTAAAGTGTGCGATAGTTAACATAGTTTGTGTGTTACGCGTACATACCTTGAAAGACCCCTGCCGAGCTCAATTGACTTGGAATCGCTGAAAAATATTTGCGGCGACGGACGCTTTCTTGACCGAAAAGCGTGAAGACGGAGCGGAGGAGTAGGATACAAAAGACTGCAGGTGGATTGTATTAGTAAAGTGGGTAGTAGTTCTGTATTTTCTATGTTGTCAGTTGAAACGCACCTTCAAGGCTTGCGTTAGCTTCATTTCAGAAGCAGATGTCGTAAATCTTTGAACGATGAGCGAAGAGATCGGACAACCGAACGAAGTTGAAGCCGTAGAGAGTAATCCTGATGTAAAAGCGTGGCTAGGGCAGGACCGTGGAACTCTTTTATCCGAAGAAAAGGAAAAGATAAAGGCCTCCAGTAAGTTTTATGAATACCATAATAATAGCACTTTTTGGTGACTTACATATGCCAATGCTGAGCTCATCTCAAGTGAATGAGGTTGGCATTCGTGGAGATGTTGCTCATTCGCGTACAAAGACAACGTCAGGGGGTGGGAAAGTCGACGTGACAATCGTGAAAGAGAAAAAGAAGCACGAGGAAAAAATTTTTTTCTGCGGCCTTGTTTGGTAAACGACCACACCTGGCTCTTTACAGCCAAATCACCCTCCCATTTAAAAGAATGCTATGATCGGAAGGTCAAGGCATAAAGAGACCATCCTTACAGTTGAAATTCGCTGCCCAAAAAATTCTTTAATCATGTTGCGGAACGTAATTCACCAAGAGGTGTCCAAAGGTCATTTATTATACCTATAAGCGGAGGCTCCCTCCACCAAAAACCGTCCCTCCCACCTAAAATTCGCTGCCCAAAAAATGTTTCCCTCCCAGGTCAGGTGATTTAGCTAGTCTCGAGCAATCGTTTATTATTATATAGATAAATAAATAAATATAAGATTTTTAATATTAATTCTAAATGTATACAATCAAAATACACCATTTTACAACATTTGAGATTATATAATAAGTGTAAGTATAATAACTACAGAAGAAAAAGCTAATAAAGTATCAATTCATGCCAGGAATCCATATAATGATTATTAATATTAAATTATTACTAGAATATGAGCTAGGCCTCATATAATATTTACCATTTATATAACTATCCCCTTTAGACGGCTCAGGCCTATAAACGAAAAGATATAAATATGTGAGAAGTGAAAAGAATAAAGAATTATCTTATCCATCCTCTATTCTTTTGTTCCCTTATTCCACCTGGCCCTGTCCTTACAGCCAAAAGGAATCCGACAAAAGGAATCTGACGCAACCGAAAAAACAGAACCATAATACAAGGACTCGGATACACAATAAGGGTTCGACCGGGAATTGAACCCGGGACCTCTCGCACCCTAAGCGAGAATCATACCACTAGACCATCGAACCCAATATTTAATCTGACAAATCTATAATCATCCCTCTAGCCCAGTTATGCGATTTCCCTCCCGTTGTGCCCTGACGCAGATCAATCTACTTAAATACTCCAGAGTTAAGAGCCGCCTCCCCCCACCCCGCCCGCCCAAATTTTTGTGACTTGCAAATTTTTTGGGTGGTGATTTCGCGCTCTGGCAGGGCAGATTTCGACTTTGTTTTTTTTTCTTGTCCAGCACGCCCAACTATGTCTCCATTACGCTCATCTCCAAAACCACCTCCCATCTTTCGCTTGTTTTTTGGGCTAGAAGGTATTATAGGTGACAAGTGTAATTCAGTAGAAATATAAATTATTTATCATAAATGTTTTTTCGAAATAAATCCAAATTATAATTACAGATCAAAAATAAACCATTTTTGAAATAATTAGAACTTTTAACAAAATATTATTTTATGTTATCATTTTAATTTTATGTTAAACAAAATATATCTTACATTTATTGAAACAATTTTAAAATTACCTTTTTATTACAAATCCTCTGACATTGCAGAAGATTTATTATTTTTACTTTTATTGTTATTGATATCGTTTGTATTAATTTTTAATTTATTTTTATTTTTATTCTTATTTTTATTTTTAGGTTCACTAATATTATATTCTTCTAACATAAATTTATACTCATATTTAATCTTATCACATTTTAAGGTATATATTATAACATTATTATAACATTATTTTTACATTTCTTTACATTAAATTCTTTTATATTAAAATCATTATTATTTATAATTAGGTCTATAATAAAACTATTATTTATATTTTTTTTAAACTCTTGATCTTCAAAAGGATTCATATTTTATTGAATTTATTAATTTCTATTAGCTAACCATATATAAGTTTACACGGTTTATTTCTAAATCAGATATTATATTTAGATTAATAATGGGACCAAATTAATACTATTATATGTAAATTTTATATACAGTAAGAATAAAATGAATATTTATATATCATATAGAAAGATAAAAGTATTTTATATAAAAGAACGGATTTATTAATCCCTTTTTATAATATTTTTATTTTTTGTTTCTGTTGTTATACTTTTGATAGCCATATTCAATATCTTTATATAACTTACCGTATATTTTTTTCTTTATTAACAATAACACAAGGTAATTCTGGGTGTTTTAATTTAAAATAATTTCTTTTAAAGTATTCGTCAACATTTACATATCGTTTTCAACTATTATTGTAATGCTTTTATTATAGGCATATCTACTAAAATCTACTATTACATTATAAACGCTTACATATAATCTTCTAACATCATTATCACTTAAAAAATCTTCCATTTTTAATATAAATTGATTATATGCATCATTATAATCATTCTCCATCATATTGTCATCATAAATATCTTTAATTATTTCATTATGCTCTATAAAATTTATTTCATACAACTTTTTATTATTATTTTCTGCTAATAGTGTAAATCTATCAGCATTAAGAGAAAGATCACCTAAAAAAAGTTTAAATTCTAATTCAAAAGGCATTTTTATTATTCTTTACTAATAATAATTATTTTTATTTTATTTCAAAATTCAATTTTTTGATCCAGAATCTATTAAATTAGTATATTTGTACCTAAATATATATATTTTGTATTAGATACCTTCATATATCTAGTTAGCTGTACTATTGCTAAGAAATTCATTAAATATATCTTTGATTTATTCTTATTTCTCCATTTAAATTCATTAAAATGTTTAATTAAATGTTTCTTACCTCTATATTGTGGTTTTATTTTTCTCTTTATTAGTCCCCACATATTTTCTACATTCTGTGTATGTATAGATTTATCCTTTTTATCTACATAATTCTTAGAAGGGTTTATCATTTTATGATTATAGCCTATATTTTTTAAATTATGATAAGATTTAAATGAATCTGTATAAATTATAGATCCAGATTTTACATTTCTTTGTATAAAATCTTCACAAGTTTTTCTATCTCTTTTATCAACTATCTCTATATGATAATCTTTAATTTTATTATTAGGTGATGTTCTATTAGTTATACCAATAACCCATGTTTGACCTTTTTATAATCTACCTTTATTATATTTCCTTCTAGACATCATTGATTCATCAATTTCACAATAATCACCAAATATTACTTTTTTATTTTCTTTTTGAAATATTTTTCTAAATATATTACTATATCTTGTTATTGTTTTTGGTGATTTTACTAATGAAGCATAAATACTTTTTCTTGGAGTCTCTTTTAGATATTCATACAATATGTGCAATATTTCATTTACAGGTAATTTTTGATTAGCAAATACAGTATTTTTAAATATCGAAAATGATTTTCTACATCCTTTTTTCTTACATCTATATAATTTTAATTTATAATATACACCTAGTTCACCATCATCACAATATTCACATTTAGTTTTTAATGATAAATAATCTTTTTGAAATAAATATTCAATAGCTTTTTCTTCATCTATAAATATATCATGTAAATTTTTATATGCTTCAATATTAAAAATATTATCTAGAGCTTTTTGCTTATATATAATTTTTTCTTCATTTAGTATTTTTTTTAAATTTTCTTTTTTTTCTTTTTTTTTGGTTCTTTTAACATTTTTTAATATATTACGTTCTTTTGCACTAACATCATCAATACACCAATTTTCATATTTTAATATTTGACCATATTCTAAATTGTTTTTCATAGTTTTGTTGATATCTATCATATTTTTCATAAAAGACTTAGACTTATAATTAGTTTTCATATTTTTCATAGATTTTTGTGATAAAAGAAGGTGTTTTGATTTCATTTTGAACTGGATTAATAATAAAAGTAAAATATATAACAATGATAATTTTTTATTAAAGAAATAAAATTAGTTTTATATCTAAAAGTATGCACCCCTTATTTTTTTGTGTAACAATATTAGGGAGGTGGTTTATTTTAAAATTTTCATATTATTATAATTTTGATAAAAATAGTTTGTCAGCTATCTTACCCTTTTACCATTTTTTGCAATACACGAATAAAGACGGCTTCAAGCTACCATACAATACTCATCTCGTTGCACATTGTTGTCATGTCAAGTTAATCCGTCTCGATCCCGATTCTGCTTCATCACGCATGACAAGATTCGTAGACGTTGGTGTCACTACCTGGTTGAGACAGCTTGAAAATACTTGGAAAAGATGCGCAAGGTTTGGTTTTATTATGTTCAAGTCGAAAAAGTAGCGTTTATGGACCGTACAGCCTGAGGACTATTCGTAAACAAAGAACGACCTTGGTACCAAGCAGTGTATGATACGTTGTCAGCTACCACACTTTTTTTTCTTAGGTAACCTGCCTCGAGAACACTTTTATTACTACGCTTGGACCTCTATTGAACGACACACGAGTTTGCACGCGGAAAGGACGCCATGTCGACCACTCACTTTTTAGTCATTCCGGACGAGACCATGTTATTTTGCTGAAAACGACTTTGCAAGCTTAATCTCCTTAAGTGAGGTCCCCAACAACACTCGGTACAGCCCTGACAACCTATGGATCGGCTCACTACACATTATACGGATATACTGAACGTTACGGATTGGCCAAAAGGTAACCTGGAAGAGAGAAAGATACGTGAACGTTGATATATCTGAATATTACGCCCGTGAAACTTGTTTTAATAGTTTTGCGCTATACTTGCAATAAAAGTATCACTTTTTTTATGCTCTGCCTATCCTATGCTCATGTCACAATATGCTCAGACTGTTCTTGCAACCGGTGAAGGCTGCCGATGAAAAGGTAAAGTACAGTCATTTATTGCTTACGGAAGCGAACGTTCTTTGGACGTGAAGTCATTTCTATAATTTGACGATCAAGATCATCCACAACAGAGGTAAGTGTGCGAAGTCTTTCCTCCTTATCAGCAGAAAAGGAACTGTTTTCGATGGTGCGCCAGAGGTTTTTGACCTTTGTCGCCAATTGCTTACGGACGTCTTCCAAAGGTGCTCGTGTTTGCAACGGTTTCGCGTACGGCTGATGGGACAGATGCCGATGAAGATTCGGCTGCTGAAGAGGGCGAGGGGCAAATTGCCAGTAGCTCTGCCTCAGAAAGGACATCGGTACGAATGCAGAGCCCTCCTTCGACCCTCTGAACCAGATACATGTGCTTACATGGCCGCTGCCCCATTTGAAAGAGTTTACAATTGCATGAAAGAATGTTTTTTTGCGGGGGATCGATATTGACCTTATTCAAGCGTATCCGTTAATACAGGGCATTATCGACATCCATATCTTAAATTACTTTGTAGGCATTGTCATCGTCTAGAAAAGACCTCACGTAGAAACTGGATTGCCCTTGCTTTTGGACGGCGTCGAGGAAATCGGTGATGGGAATCGATTCTGCTATGAGTTGCTGCTCTCGATCATGGCGCGCGTTTACCGACATTCTGCCGACGTTCATTGATAGTCGACGAATTTGGTTTTTGATATCGAATTCAATGGTGGTCGTCATAATACCAATAAAAATATCGAGTCGGTGCTGGCGGCGACGTCTGAAGTAAACAGTCTTCAGCTGATTATGCCACGATTCAACATAGTTGTTCGTCTCCATATTCGTGTATATATCAGGTTGGTAGCAAGCGGCCCATTTCCGGTACCTCTCATTTTCCATCCACTGTTGCTGGAAATACTGGCAGAATTCAGGCTGTGTCTCGCTCCATTGGTTTTTGAAAGCGTCCATCTTTTGGTGAAAGGTCTCTTCGTTCTTTTCGTACATAATATCTTTCAATGTCTCTCGGATTTCGTGCTTGTATGATGCAGCCCGTTCATCTCTGTTGCGATGCATGGCGGTGACTTTGGTTCGAATATTCTGCTGCCATGCACGCATAACGTGCCAGGTGCAGAACTGGACAGTCGTGTTGTCGCCCCAAACGGCCTGAATCGCGTTATCCTCTGGGAGACTGCAATCAATCGTGATGCGTGCTGGATGGAC